GGTCTAAGGAGCCTTTCAGAGGACTGGGTCTAAGGAGCCTTTCAAAGGGCTGGGTCTAAAGAGCCTTTCAGAGGACTGGGTCTAAGGAGCCTTTCAGAGGACTGGGTCTAAGGAGCCTTTCACAGGACTGGGTCTAAAATGACTTTCAGAGGACTGGGTCTAAAGAGCCTTTCAGAGGACTGGGTCTAAAATGACTTTCAGAGGATTGGGTCTAAAGAGCCTTTTAGAGGACTGGGTCTAAAAAGCCTCTCAGAGGGCTGGGTCTAAAAAGCCTCTCAGAGGACTGGGTCTAAAAAGCCTCTCAGAGGACTGGGTCTAAAAAGCCTTTTAGAGGACTGGGTCTAAAAAGCCTTTCAGAGGACTGGGTCTAAGGAGTCTTCCAGAAGACTGGGTCTAAAAAGCCTTTCAGAGGACTGGGTCTAAGGAGTCTTCCAGAAGACTGGGTCTAAAAAGCCTTTCAGAGGACTGGGTCTAAGGAGCCTTTCAGAGGACTGAGTCTAAGGAGCATTTGAGAGGACTGGGTCTAAGGAGTCTTTCAGAAGCCTGGGCCTAAGGAGACTTTCAGAAGACTGGGCCTAAGGAGCCTTTCAGAGGACTAGGTCTAAAGAGTCTTTCAGAAGACTGGGCCTAAGGAGCTTTTCAGAGGACTTGCTGAGAATGTGTTTTGTCTGTTGTTTTGTTCATGTCGCCCTCGTGAGTTTTTCTCAGTATATTTACTACTCATCCTTCCTCAGTCTGTTTTCTAGGTCACTCATTGTAATTATGCTCACCTGTCACTTGTTTTGTAATCAGTCCCCTCTCCAGCTGTCGCTCATTTCTCATTTTCTCTGTTAGTATATATTCTGGTTCAGTTCTTCATCTCATCGCTGGTTCATTGTTTTGGTTTCCTTACCAAACTTTGATGTCCCTTCATGCTCCTAGTTTTCTTGTTGTTTTGCTGACCCGTCAGCCTGTTGTTTTATTTAATAAATCGTTTATTCTAAAATCTTACTCTCCGTCCGGATTTGGGTTCGTTCCACTACATCTCCTAACAGGACTGGGTCTAAAGAGCCTATCAAAGGACTGGGTCTAAGGAGTCTTTCACAGGACTGGGGCTAAAGAACCTTTCATAGGACTGGGTCTAAAGAGCCTTACAGAGGACTGGGTCTAAAGAGCCATTCAAAGGACTGGGTCTAAAAAGCCTTTTAGAGGACTGGGTCTAAAGAGCCTATCAAAGGACTGGGTCTAAGGAGCCTTTCACAGGACTGGGGCTAAATAAACTTTTAGAGGACTGGGTCTAAAGAGCCTTCCAGAGGACTGGGTCTAAAAAGCCTTTTAGAGGACTGGGACTAAGGAGCCTTTCAGAGGACTGGGTCTAAAGAGCCTTCCAGAGGACTGGGACTAAGGAGCCATTCAGAGGACTGGGTCTAAAGAGCCTTTCAGAGGACTGGGTCTAATGAGCCATTCAGAGAACTGGGTCTAAAGAGCCTTTCAGAGGACTGGGTCTAAAGAGCCTTTCAGAGAACTGGGGCTAAAGAGCCTTTCAGAGGACTGGGTCTAAAATGCCTTTCAGAGGACTGGGTCTAAACTGCCTTTCAGAGGACTGGGTCTAAAGATCCTCTCAGCAGACTGGGCCTCATTTAAAGACTGAGACAGAGAGCAGAACTGCTCTGAGATCTAATGGATCCAAATCTAAAACTGCTTTTGGAAACCACAGATGAAGAGAGAGGGACCAGCCAGTCTTGTATTTATTAGTGCACGGTTCTAAAGCCTGCCTCCCTGGGTGTGCATTAGTCTCTGTGGCATGGGCAGCTGACACATCTGTAATTCCATCAGTGCAGAAAAGTGTCTTCAGGTTTTAGAACATCTGCTCAACAGTCCTTAAATTTGATCTTGTACATTTGGAACATGAAGCGGTGTTCTGAAGGCAGAAAAAAAACTGAAGAATAATATTGATCCTAATGTGGTCCCAAACCAGCATCATGTGTTGCTGTGGAGTCTCAGTCCTCCAGAACACATTGAAAGAACAAAGATAAAGCAGCTGGACCTCGGTTCTGTAGCGGAATACGTGCAGAATTCCATCTAAACTGAGGTTAGTGTTATTATTTTTACCAGGATGGATCCGAACCCCCTGACCTGACATGTAGAAATGAGGTCAGGATGGATGTTCAAGGGATCCCTGATTAGTTGTAACATTAGACTTTATTTGATAAACATATATTTTAACTGTAAAATAAAGACTGTAAAAATGCTGTAGGCTGTTTAATTTTGTAAATTTTTAAAAATGTATTTTAACACGGATGGAGCCATTTTATTTCCACACAAAGCATTCTGGGTAAATGATGACGTGGATAGGTCCTCGGTGCGAGGCTGCTAGCGAGCTATATCCACCCTGAAGGTTAATCTTGGACAATATCTGATGATCGACTCTTTTAAATGAAACCAGAGAGTGTTGACAGAGAGGAGAAGGTAGAAATGACTCAGCCTGGAACTGAAAATATGGATGGAGGACAACAGAGCTGCTTCATGGAAGAAGAACCTCAGCTTAGCCTGTTAGCCTTTGGGCTAACAGGCTTTTAAACTTTTAGTTTAAAAATGACAAAAACTGAACATCCTACAGTATTTTTACAGTCTTTATTTTATAGTTAAAATATATGTTTATCAAATAAAGTCTAATGTTACAACTAATCGGGGATCCCTTTCAGGTCATGTGGCTCTGGGTTTTCTCTGGTTTCTGTTTTAATGTAAAGAGTGACCCAAAATAAAAATAAAATATCTGCTTAAAGAAATGATCAAAGAAAATAAAGTGCAAGACGTAGAGTGCTTATATCATGAAAGGAAGGTGACATCAGTCTGTGAGGAGAACATCTGGCAGCTCTGAGTTCCAGGGTTTCTCTACAACCCCAGTTCCAACAAAAGACCCTGTCACACTATAATGTTTAGACAACTTAGGCCAACTTATGAAAAATTTTAAGTCCTCTATAATGAAGATGGAATAAAAAATCAACTGAAAGACTCTTAGTAATTTAGACATAAACAATTTTCATAAGTTGGCATAAGCTGTTTAAAGCGTGGCATGGCTTGAAGTTGGGCCGTTGTGCAAAACAAATAAAAACAATACGATTCACAAATCCTTTTCAACATATATCCAACCCAATCCACTACAAAGACATGATATTTAATGTTCAAACAAATAATCTTTTGAACAAATAAACGTTTAGAAATTGATGCTGCAACACATTCTAAAAATAAACTAAGACAGGGACAACAAAAGACTGAGAAAGTTGAGGGACGCTTCAAAAACAGCTGTTTGGAACATTCCATAGGTGAACACTGGAAACAGGTGAGTGTCATGACTGGGTTTAAAGAGAGCATCTATGAAAGGCTCAGTCATGCACAAGCAAGGATGTGGTGAGGTTCACCACTTTGTGAACAACTGCGTGAGGAAATCGTCCAGCAGTTTAAGAACATTGTTTATCATTGTACACTTACAACAAATTTAGTGATTTTGTCATTGACTGTCCATAATATCATCAAAAGATTCAACGAATCCGGACAATCTCTGCAAGCAGCAAGTCTGAAAACCAACGTTACTGATTGTGCTGATTTCAGCAAGACAATGAAGTTCTGTATGTGTTCCAACAGTGTGGTTTCAGAGTAAAAGAGTGCAGGTACAAACTCAAAAAGAAGGAATATTTGAAGAAAAAAACAATAAAGTTTATCTGTTTGAACAATAAACATTTTGTCTTTGTAGTGAATTCAATTGAACATAGGTTGGAAAGGATTTTCAAATCATCATATTTTGTCCCAAAGTGACTCCAATGAGTCCCGACTTCATTGTTTCACTGTATGTGCACTGTTCTGTCAGCCAGTTCCACTAAAACATGGACCAGGTTGATGAGTGTCCCAAAGAATTCCTCCTCCGGAATAACTGATCAGACTGTAGATACAGAGAGAAGCTTTGCATTTTGAAACAAACAAACAAACAAACAAACAAACAAACAAACTTCAGTCATGTTTGGGTGCAAAACATTCTTTAAAACACAGTTAGTCCTGCTGTAAGTCTTGTTGTTCTTGTTAAAGGTTTTATTCATGGTGAAAGAAGCACCAGAGGCCAGGATGGGACCAGATCCATGACAGAACCAGAGTCCATGAAAGGACCAGATCCATTATGGGACCAGAGGCCATGAAAGGACCAGAGTCAGAATGGGACCAGATCCATTATAGGACCAAATCCATGATAGAACCAGAGTCCAGGATGGGATAAGAGGCCATAATGGGACCAGAGGCCATGAAAGGACCAGAGTCCTGGATGGGACCAGATCCATTATAGGACCAGATCTATGATAGAACCAGAGTCCATGAAAGGACCAGATCCATTATGGGACCAGAGGCCATGAAAGGACCAGAGTCCAGGATGGGACCAGATCCATTATACGACCAGATCCATGATAGAACCAGAGTCCATGACAGGAACAGATCCATTATGGGACCAAATCCATTACAGGACCAGAGTCCAGGATGGGACCAGATCCATGATAGAACCAGAGTCCATGAAAGGACCAGATCCATTATGGGACCAAATCCATGATAGGACCAGNCATTATGGGACCAAATCCATGATAGGACCAGAGTCCAGGATGGGACCAGATCCATGATAGGACCAGAGTCCAGGATGGGACCAGATCCATGATAGGACCAGAGTCCAGGATGGGACCAGATCCATGATAGGACAAGAGTCCAGGATGGGACCAGAGTCCATGACGGGACCAGAGTCCAAGGTGGGACCAGATCCATGATGGGACCAGAGTCCAGGATGAGACCAGATCTTTGGTGGAACCAGAATTCATGATGTCCAGAATGAGACCAGTTCTTTGGTGGAACCAGAATTCATGATGTCTAGGAGTTCAGGATAGGACTAGATCCAGGATGGGACCAGATCCATGACAGGATCAGATCAATGATGGGACCAGATCCAGGTTGTCCAGGGGTGCAGGAAAGGACCAGATCCAGGATGGGACCAGATCCATGATAGGATCTGATCCAGGATGGGACCGGGTCTGAAGCGTACCATGGTATGTACAATGTAAGAATGTCAACAACACGACAGGTGAGGAGATGAGACAGGACTAGTTTATCTGACTCCCTTCATGCAGGTATGAATTTACACAGGAGACCTGAGGACCATGGTCTCTGTGGCTCCAGTCCTGGTCTCAGGTAACCACAGATCCTTGTGGGTCTCCATGCTGACATTTTCTTTTTAAAGGAGAAAGTTCAGAGTAAATTGTTTAGAGTTAACTGGGTACAATGGTACCAGGTACAGAGTCTGAGCAGACGGTTCCAGGCTCCTCATCTGCTGCTCTGAATGTGCAAAGAACTGTCCCAAAGACCCCTGCAGGCCCCTCCTAGGGCTCAGCATCAGGGGGCTTGGATGTAACCTCTTCAGGGTCTGTGGACTCTGGTGAACCAGGGGGAGTGGTGTCCTCAGTGGGGCTGTCCTTGCTGCTTGGGGAACTTCCAGCAGCTTCAGTCGAAGTGCTGCTGCTGCTCTGAGCATCCTGACCCTCAGAGTTCTCCAGCATCTCCTGGATGAGAGGCGGCATGGAACCTGGAATCTCCATCTTCAGAGAGATGACCCGCTCTGCTCCTGCAAGACAACGAGTCAATCTTAACGTTTTATAAAAAAATCTCTGTTTCTTATTGTTGCTTAAAACCAATAAAAACCACAAAACATCTAAATGAGAACCAGCGTGGCACATTGAGAGAGATCCGTGGATCTTATCTGTCAGTTCCAGACCAGATCATCAGATTCAGTCCTTCCTTTCAGGATTAGTAGGTTTTTCTGTTTTCGAGGCCGAGCTGCAGCAGAGCTTTAAAACTTAAACGCACCTCATGATGGTCTTCCTACCTTTAGCACTGATGCTGCGCAGGTCGGTGATCTTCATCAGGGTTTTGGGGAACATGTGGGGTTTACTGGGCCGGCGCTTCCTCACGTAGATCTTCAGAGCTTCCAGCAGGGGCTCCTGGAGCTCGTCCACCTTGGAGGGCTCCTCCAGGTCCTGACGGTCTGACACACACACACAGTTTGATCAGAAGTAGATCATTTGGAATGTCACAATGCCGACTGGGATGCCAAGTGTAAAATGAAATGTTAAATCATTTTACTAACACATGTTTCGTTATTTATCTCACTTTCTGAGTGTTAAAATGTTCCTCTAACATTTTATTTTTATTTAGCTCACCGTCTTAAATTTAACAAATTTTTACTAAACGTTAAATTTTATTGTTAAAAAATCTAGATATTAAACACAAATATAAATGTTTAAATCTAAATGTAAAAGTTAAACCTAAAACGCTCCAATGCATTGGAGAGCTAGCAGTTGCTGTTGTCAGGATGATGATGTCATAGTATGAGCAGAGCACCAACAGAAAAGCCTGCGTTCCATTCTGAAATACCTAAATGTGTCCTGAGCCCACGGGGGGACATGGGGGATTTTTTTTTCTTTTTGCATTCCCACGAAAAAGTATTGCGTTACCTCGCAATACCTTTTGCTTTCCCTCGCAAAAGTCGTTTATCACTGTTGCACCTGCCAGTTTATTAAAAACTCACATGTTTACCACTAGCGAGTTAGCCTACTGCTTTAATTCAGCTTTAGAATGAATATACAGTATCACACAGCCACGCATGGAAATATGTCATATGCCGATATTTTAACATAGTGCAGCCACGCAACATCAATATCAATTTCACGAACTTGTGGCGACACATCCTGTTTTTGTAACTGGATATTTCAAAATAAAAGTCTGATATAATTCAGTTCATGTACAAATCAAACTTTTGCATGGGAACGCAAAACAACATTGCGAGGTAACGCAAAAGTATTGCGAGGTAACGCAAAAGTATTGTGAGGGAATGCAAAGGTATTGCGAGGCAACGCAAAAGTATTGCGAGGCAACGCAAAATTATTGTGAGGTAAAGCAAAAGTTTTGCAAGGTACCACAAAAGTATTGCGAGGGAACGCAAAGGTATTGCGAGGCAACGCAAAAGTATTGCGAGGGAAAGCAAAAGTATTGTGAGGAAACGCAAAAGTATTGCGAGGTAACGCAAAAGTATTGCGAGGGAACACAAAGGTATTGTGAGGTAACGCAAAAGAAAAAAATTCCCCATGTCCCCTCGCGTATGGAGGACCAAACCTATCATTATTGGAAATAAATGTATAAATATATAACTGGCGTATTAAAATAAATTATAGGGTCAAAAAGAAGTTTGACAAATAAATTATTGTGCCATTAAATCAATTACATCAATTATTTAGATATAAATGTGTATTTACATTTTAATTTTGAAGGATTATATTTTCTCTATGTGCTTTATCGCATATTTTTTGTTTATGTTTATTCATTACAAGTACATTTGTTGTAATTTGACTTTTCCAAGCCATTATTTTCTTCTTTCACATTTATCACCAATCACATATATTTAAAACATGCTTTTTCACCTAATAATATTTTATTTCTCAAATTATTTTATCGTTCTTTTTTTTCTTAAACACTGATATATTTTCTTCTATTATATACCTTTGTTGTATATTTTTACCAAACACATTTCCCTGAGCGCATTTATTTTCATCTCTTTTTTTTACATTTCTTGCTGGCTGTATTGTCTTTTCCAGCTCYACATGCAGCAGGGAATGTAAAAACAGAGGAGGCGGTCTTAAGAAAAGCGTCACCGCCCCAGCTTCTCGCCTATTGGCCGAGGTTCCTTTAAACTAGACCTCGGCCAATAGGCGAGAAGCTGGGGCGGTGACGCTTTTCTTAAGACCGCCTCCTCTGTTTTTACATTCCCTGCTGCATGTGGAGCTGGAAAAGACAATACAGCCAGCAAGAAATGTAAAAAAAAGAGATGAAAATAAATGGGCTCAGGGAAATGTGTTTGGTAAAAATATACAACAAAGGTATATAATAGAAGAAAATATATCAGTGTTTAAGAAAAAAAAGAACGATAAAATAATTTGAGAAATAAAATATTATTAGGTGAAAAAGCATGTTTTAAATATATGTGATTGGTGATAAATGTGAAAGAAGAAAATAATGGCTTGGAAAAGTCAAATTACAACAAATGTACTTGTAATGAATAAACATAAACAAAAAATATGCGATAAAGCACATAGAGAAAATATAATCCTTCAAAATTAAAATGTAAATACACATTTATATCTAAATAATTGATGTAATTGATTTAATGGCACAATAATTTATTTGTCAAACTTCTTTTTGACCCTATAATTTATTTTAATACGCCAGTTATATATTTATACATTTATTTCCAATAATGATAGGTTTGGTCCTCCATACTCGCGAGCTCCGTAAATGTGAACTTCAAAATTTAAGATTGAACTTTTTTTTACAATCTATAGATTTATCATTTAAACATATTTTTTAACATTTAGATTCATCATTTACTAAAAATGAGCTAAATTTAATAGTGACTAAATGACAATAAAATTTTAGTGGAAAATTTTAACTCAGAAAGTGAGCTATATGATGAAAAATATGTTTGTAACTTTTTAAATATATTTTATTTTACACTTGGCGCTCCATAGCCAACATCTCGTTAGATGAAGCTGCAGCTCAGCTGCGAAGTTGAGTAGAGGCTAATGCTACGTTCACACCGAACGCGTTTTGAGCGGCCAAAAAGCATAAAACGCCTCTCGTTGGACTATTTTCAGACCGAAGAACGCACTAGTGTTCAGACCAGAACAAGCAGCAGCAGCAGCGAGGTGTGGGAGGAGCGTCTATTCGGCGGGTGAAATAAAGATAAAATAAAAGAAAATGGCTTTGATTTATTTACTAAAAAGCAAGTGAACGTTGCGCACAGCAGATAATTAACTCACCAGATGATTTAGAGGTGATTTGTTCGGTTAGTTTCGTCACTCCAGAAGCTGCCAGCTGACTGACTTTTTTCCTTTTTTGGTCCTGAGCAGCTGATCCACATCGGTGCTGATATATCCTGCCAGAAAATCCAACTGCACACGGTCGATTTCAGGTAAAGATCTCCAGTCCGTCTGTTTCGGTTTTCAGTGGGAGACGCGTCGAGCGGCGAAAAGTTCAGATATTTGAACTCTGGTGGCGGCTCGGGCGGCAGCGGCTTCCGCAGCACCGCATGCGCGGAAAACTCTCTGCGCCCCTTCCGCCTTCCTTGCGCGCCGCCCAAAACGTACGTGACGCAACGCACGACCCCTAGAGGTGCCTCCTCATAGACTTTGCATGTAAATCGGCCGCTCCTGCCACTAAAAACGCATTTGGTGTGAACGTAGCATAAGGGTCAATTAGCCTTGGCAGCTATTTTGAATTGGGCCGACTCTAAAGGTTATTCAGTAAGTAAGTAATTAAGTAAGTAAGTAAAACTTAATTTATATAGCACATTTCAAAATAGTGCTATATAAAGTATACAAAGTGCTTCAACTAACACAAACAAAAATAAAATAAAATAAAAATAGACAGAGCAAATTTAAACAAATGCAGATTTAAAAAGGTTAGTTTTTAACTGAGCTGTAAAGGAGTCCAGTCAGTTGTAGAAACACAATTATACACAATATTTATTGTCTGTGAGTTGAATTAAAATCCATCCATTTATAAGATCTTTTGCTAATAGACAAATAATTAGAGGCTGAGTCGAGTTATTCATGATGAACGATGAGTCAGCATCTTGTTCACAGGTTCTTCTCATGTTAGGAACTGACTCAGCTGTTCAGGTGTGTTTCATCATTATAATGTTCTATAGCTAAGGCTTATTTTAGCTTTTGTTCTTACTGTATAGTTTGAGCAGCTCAGTTTCATGAAATAATTCAGCAGTCACACAGGGTTTGTGCCGTCGATGCAGATATTCCTGGTTAGTTGTCTTTAATGCTGGTAGGAAGCAGGGAGGTTCTGTGGGTCTGTTAGCAGAACCCAGTGTTTGTGTTCCGGCGGTGGGCCACCAGGTGGGAGTGTGTACCCTGAAACCAGCAGCAGTCAGGAGGGGGAGGGGCTTACAGCCACAATCAGAGGTGAGCTGTACTTTCATGGATTGTGCAACAGTGTGTAATGTTTGCTCAGCCGCTGTGAGCTGACTCTATAAATATAAATSTTGAATAAAAATGCAGCAGTGAAGGAGGCCGAGCTGCCAGAGCAACGGCAAGAAGAAACATGAGACTGAAACTTTGTGTGAACAGTTGTACCACTGCTACAGCCTCATTATTCTCATGTTTACCTGCCTCTGTTGGCTCAGACCCGTGGAGGAGTTTTAACAAAACTTTCAGAAAATAATCTACAGTTCATCTGTAACAGATTCACTTTGGGAGTAAATCACATTTAAGATGCTGTCAAAGCTAACGGACATTAGCTAACAGAAGCTGTCTGTAACTCAGTGAAATTGACAGAAATAGACAGCTGAGAGTCATTTATGAGACGTGCTCTGAGTGCTAACAGGTGCGACTGAACATAATGAGGTTTTAAAGGTCGGACCCAAGCAGCAGGCAGACTTTGGGTTGTGGATCATCACATGTGCCCACATCACACTCCCTGTTTTTATAAATATGATGAGATGTCACCAATGGGCTAACTAGTTTCTGATAATAAAGTCAGTGTGACATGGGGATGTATGATGAATTGGCATTAAGATTGGTGTCGATCCGATAAGTAAAATTGGGCTGATATCAAATGTCCGATATTGATTTCCCACTTTCTAAGTTCTGTTTTGGAGGGGAGATGGTTGATTGAATTGTATCTGTTTGATCATGATAGTGATAGTTATTCCTGCACATCCAGGAATAAGGTAAATATCAGTTGTTGGCCATAACACCAATAATAATATTGGATATCAATATTGGCTGAGATTTTTATATCAGTGCATCCCTTGTGCAACACTATAAGAAAGATAGAGATGAGCACCTTACCACAATGTATGAGAGGCCTTTAGGCCAGTGGTTCCCAAACTTTTTATCTTCAGACCCACAAAATATCCATGGCTTAAACTTGTGACCCCAAATATTACTGGTCTGAGTACAC